TAGAGCAGTGGTTCTCAACCTTCTGGCCCTTTAAATACAGTTCCTCATGTTGTGACCCAACCATAAAATTATTTTCGTTGCTACTTCATAACTGTAATGTTGCTACTGTTATGAATCGTAATGTAAATATCTGATATGCAGGATGGTCTTAGGCGACCCATGTGAAAGGATCGTTCGACCGCCAAAGGGGTCTCGACCCACAGGTTGAGAACCGCTGCTCTAGGGGGTCACAAGAACTAAACGTTCCAAGGGACCCCAAAGACTTTCTTTTTTTTTTTAAAATATATTTTATTGATTTTTTTACAGAGAGAAAGGGAAAGGGATAGAGAGTCAGAAACATCGATGAAAGAGAAACATCGATCAGCCGCCTCCTGCACACCTCCCACCGGGGATGTGCCCGCAACCAAGGCACATGCCCCTGACCGGAATCGAACCCGGGACCCCTCAGTCCGCAGGTCGATGCTCCATCCACTAAACCAAACCGGTTAGGGCCCCAAAGACTTTCTCCCACCCTCCTCTTTGGGTTTAGGCTGGGCCACCAAGGCAAGGACCCTGAACAGCATGAAATGGGGGACTTGGAGCATGTGAGTGACTTCAGTCACCCCCTCCGTGGACCGCAGTTTCTACATCTGTGAAATGGAAGAAGAAAGAGGCAAAGTCGATTTGCACTTTGAGCATGTATCTCAGTGCCTAGCTCAGGACATGCTTTCCTCAAATGTTACCTGTTATTGCGATTATGTGACCCTCACCAAGAGCCCACTTTATCCATGAAAAGACCAAGGCTTCAGGAGGTTAAGGGACTTGCTGAAGTTGTCAAAGTCCATTTTGGGGACACTGAAGATGGTGCAGTGGACCCGGCCCAGGCATCCAGATCATGGTCTGGAGAGAGTGACGGACATGAATCAAAGAATTCCCCAGAGCTTCCACCAGTGCCAGCCTGGGGTGGGGTATTAGGGAGGGTCTCCCAGAGGAGAGGTCGCTGAGCTGAGACCCAACGGTGAGGATGAAGGAGAAAAGAAGCATTCCAGGTGGTGAGCAGAGCATGTGCAAAGGCCCTGAGGTGGGGCTGTGCTTGGGTGTGGAAGGCCAGAGTGGGTAGAGTGCAGTCAGTAACGGGGAGTGAGAGGGATGCCTGTAGCACAAATTCAAGGGGAATATATTCGCATTCTTATGAATGGGTGAAGAAAAATCCAGAGGGAAATAAGGTGAAATGCTGAAGACAGGTGGTTTATGAGTGAGGTTATAACGGAACTTTATTTTCTTCTTTATGTTTCCATTATTTCCAAATTATCTAAGGTGAGCACGCATTACTTGTAAGTCAAGGGGCAGGGAGAAAAATTGCAAATAATCATTCCCTAAAAAAATTTTGCCTTTTAAAGATCCAGAAGCAAATTCACCAAGTTCATGACCCAGATGACGTTTAATTTCCCCTCTGTGGAATTTCATCATTGATTGTGATGATGAATTTTCAGTGGAGTGATTTAGTAATGAAGGGAGCTGTTCTGGAAGCCAGAGGATGCTGGGAGGACCTGTGTCACACATAAATTTTCAGGCACGGAGAAACCAAGATGTTTTCCAGGGTGGAATGCTGAGCCTTCCGGAGACAGGAACTGAAACTGACACTTGAGCACAGAGCGGCCTATCCGCCCCTGCCCTAGGCTGATCCAGCAAGCAGATGCCATAGGGGAGGCCAGCCAGAACAGGACCCCCAAGTTCGCCGCGCCTCCCGCCGCCAGGGGGCGCCGCGAGCTAATGTCCAGCACCCAGCAGCGTGGCCTAGAGTAGGCCACAGGACTGCTCTGTGCCTCAGTTTCCCCATCCATGAAATAGACATACTAGTTTAAGTTAATAAGGTTTATTTCACTCCAGAGAAACGTTCAATGCCCCAGATTTCTAAGATATTTCAGGGTGCTCACAGACACTACCTCTCAACCAAAGTTTACCCAAATACTAGGATCAGGCCATAGAGGGGAAACTGAGGCCCAGGAGGCCTCCCTAGGAGGTGTCTGGGGCACCCTCGGAATTGGGGGATACAGAGACCCACGGTAGGGGTGACAGGAATTGTGTGCTTTTGTTGCTGTTGTATAAGAGGGAGAATGGGGGGAGGGGCCAGCAGGAGGTCCTGAGGTCAGAGAGAACAGGTGCACCCAGAGGCACCGCTGAAGAAGAAATCGCAGCTACTTAAAGCAATAACCGATGCACAAGCAGCAACAGGCCACTTCAATCTTCAGAGATGTCCCCACACAGAGCCCTCTCTCTGCTGCCCCCTACCACCCCCTCCAGAGCTCCAGAACCAGAGTTGGGACTGGACAAAGCTTTTCCCCATTCAAGGTCCCCAGCAGATGAGAGGGAGGTGCCTGTGGGGGGCATCTCCTTGGGGCTGACTCCTCACCCGTCGCACAGGGCTGCCCCAGAGGCACATAGCAGGCACAGGCCTGGCACACAGGATGTCCCAATAAATATCTGATAAAGAATGAAAGAGTAAGTGATGGGTGTGGCTCAAGAGTGACCGCTGGAGAAGCTGGGCCTGACCCAGCCCCAACGTCAGAGCTGACGCTGGAGGAGGAGAGCTCAGCAGAGCCCGGGGTCAGAGTGGACCCCAGCCAGCTTCAATCCTGAAACTTGCCTATAACTAAGGTTGTCCCCCTCAATGTGTGGAGAAGGCAAGGCATGAGTTATCTGGGACCTCTTCCTGGAAAGTCCACCCACTCATTAGAGGCCATTAGGAGCCAGATGGCTCAGCCGTTACATTGCCCTCATGGTCCATGCAGGGCTTGCCCACGGTCCTCTGGTTGTCTAGGCATAAGGCCCCAGGGTCTGAGCTGGCCTCAGGGGACAGGAGGTCAGTGTCAGGTGACTCTGAGGCCTCTTGGGCCAACATTCTCTCCTCCTCCTCCTCCTCTTCTGCCTCCTCCAGAGTCAGCTCAAACTGGAATCTGTCAAGGCCGCCCTGCTCGGGGCTGGTGGGATCCCCGGGGCTGCGGGGGATCTTGCTCAGGTACCACTCGCGGTTGTCCTCTAGCGTGTCCAGCAGGTCCTGTGCATCTGGGTGTACCAGGTCAGCCCAGGTCTCCCACAGTGGGTGGGCGATGTAGTCAATGAAACCCACCTGGGGGGTGATACGGGGTTGGGGGGAGGAGGGGGGTGGCTGTGCTGTGAGGCACCATGGAACCCAGACCCAGTTAAGCCTCCAGGCCTAGGCTGTTCTCTCTCCCGGGAATGCCCTTTCCCAACGCCTACTCATCCTTCAAAACCTTCTTCAAACAACCCCTCTTTTAGAAAGTCTCCCCTGCCCCTTCTGGGCTCCCCCAACCCCTAAGTCTTTCCTTCCACCCAGCACAGACCCCTCAGGGCTAGGTGTATGTGCCCCCAGACTAAGACCCCCTCCAGGGGCCCCACATCACTCAGAATAGACATGTTCAACCCCCTTGAGTGCAGATCCGTTTCCCTGTAGCCCAGAGAGAATGCATCCCCGCCTGACCCCACCCAGCCAGGGCAGACCACGCCCTTGGGCCACACTCCCTCACTGACCAGCCAGGGGTCCAGCCAGAACTCAGGGGGTCGGCTCAGCTACTCCATTCTCTCCCCCTCCCCAGTGCCTGCCAGCTTGACCCGGTCACCCTCTGACCTGGGACTTCTCCACTGAGGCTGTGTGCTTGTCACACATGGGGCTGATGTCCAGGCCCGACTCCCGCTCACGGTCTCCCTGCTGGAAGAACTCAGCCATGATTCGGTCTGTCCACTGGCGGTACAGGGGCAGCGGCTTAGTGGGGTTGCTGAGGTCAGCACAGTGCACCAGGTTCTGCAAGACCTGAGGAGACCGGGGCTCGGGAGGGCTCGGGCCAGGCCAGCCCAGGCCCGGTTAACCCCCATTGCCAGGCCGGTACCATGGACACACCCCTCTTCCAGGTGGGGAAACTGAGGCCCGGAGGGGGAGGAGTGGCTAAGGCACAGCCGCGTGCGCCTTTCTGCCTCCGTTTCTCCAAGTTTGGCACACAGGCGGCGCTTCATGAGTGTAGCTAAATTCGAGGCGTGGAAAGCCAGGGTCAGCCCAGCCACACACCTGGATGCGGTCCGAGTAGTTGTCCAGCAGCAGGACTCCGAGGCTCGTCACTTTCTTGGTCTCCACCATGGTCTTGAGGTCAGCCAGGAGGTTCATGTGTTTGGACATGTCAGTGGCCAGCACCTGAGGGCAGGTGAGGGGGGAATGACAGGTATGAGCATTGCTCCCACCCACCCTTTCCTCCCAGACATCACACCCCTCAGACCCTCAGCCCTCTGCGTTTGCGTCCTCATCTATGAAATGGGGGGATGTCATGACATTGGCTGCAAACCCAGCTCACAAGAGGAGCTGAGTCAAGGGCTCCACCTCTAAGGTCTTTAGGCTCATGGGATGCATTCCACATGTTAAAGATTAAATGTGGGGGCTGAGGGCAGCAGTGAGGCTCAGCCCAGGACATGGCCTGTGCAAAGGCCCTGGGGTTGGATGAGCTGGGGAACATAGAGGAAGCACTTATGGCTGGAGCAAGTGAGGTTGACCGGAACGGAGAGGGCCTCGGGGAGGAGTAGGGGACTTACCCAGAGGGCCATGGGAGCCATAGGTGGTCTTGAAGCTGGGAGGAACCTGACTTGGTGCTCCCCAAATCTCCCTATGATCATGTGTGCCTGGGAGGGCTGTTTTCAGCAATTTGGAGGGAAGTTTGGCCCCAAACATAATTGTTTAAAAATCAACTTCGCTGGCTCTGGCTGGTTTGGCTCAGTGGATAGAGCCTCAGCCTGCAGACTGAAGGGTCCTGGGTTCGATCCCAGTCAAGGGCACATGCCCGGGTTGCGGGCTCGGTCCCCAGGAGGGGGCGTGCAGGAGGCAGCCAATCAGTGACTCTCTCTCATCATTGATGCTTCTATCTCTCTATCCCTCTCCCTTCCTCTCGGAAATCAATAAAAATATATTTTTTAAAAAAAATAAACTTTGCTGGATCCATATGAACCCAGCCCAGGAATAACCAATACCCAGCCCATGGGCTTCTCTGAGAATCAGACGAAAGTCTCAAAGCTTCTTCCCAAACCTCCAGTCGGCCCCCAAATGGTGCCTTCCACCCAAGGCCCCAACTCCGTCTCAGCAAATGTTTAGTTTCTCTTCCCTGGGAGCCTGCCTTTCCTCTGAGCCCTCCCCACGTGCTGTTCTCTTTGCTGAGAACACTCCTCACCAGCCCCTCCCCTCCCCACCCTGCAGGCCCCAATCTCAGGGTTTCCTCTTGGGGGAGCCCCACCTGACCTTGAGCATGGCCCCATCACAGCTCTGCCTACAAGTCATGCATCACAGCTCTGCTTCGGGGTCCCCATCATCGCTCCCACCCACATGTCCATCTCCCTCACAAACTGTAATCTCAGAAAGGCCAGAACTGTCTTGGCCATCACAACAGGTGTTCAACAAATGCTTATAAAGTGATTGAATGAGGCACGAGACTCCAAAACTTACTGGTGTCTTCCAACCAGAAAAACACCAAACGGACAGACTAAAAGGCCCAAAACAGTTGCCCCTGAAACCCCAGAAGCTCGGTTTCCATATCGCGTATGCGTGAACCGCAGCCAGGACCAAGGGCCTGGTCACCCCACCCAGGGCTTAGGGTCATTGCCCCATTTTATAGCCCAGGAAGCTCAGGCTCAGAGTGGAGGCACGCCCAGATCCCACGGGCGGGGACCGCCCCGCCCGCCCATCGCTGTGGCCTCACTATGTCGATGACCATCCTGCGCAGACTCAGCCACTCCTTGGTGCTGAGGTTCTGGAAGACGTTGCAGTTCTCTGCCTGCAGCAGCTTGAAGCCCACAGCCAGGTGGTGGTTCTCCAGCACGGAGGCGTCGTTGTACATCAGCGCCAGCTCCGAGTCTGTGGGGGAGGACGGTGGAGAGCCTCACCGTCTGCCCGACCAACTCGCCTCACCAAAAGGCAGGTTCGGTGAACTCTCGGCAAACTCCTACTCAGGCATTGAAGCTCCAACCCTAAAGCCCCCTCCTCAGGAAGCCTTCTATGACCCCGTGTCTCTCTCTCTCTCTCTCTCTGGCCAGGCCCTGACTCCACGGGGCTGGGGGCATCTGTGTTCTGCTCTGCCTCCTCGAGACTGGGGACTCCTTGGGGACTTGGCATGGCAGGAAAGAGTGTGTGCTAAGTGCTGGTTGAATGAACAACTGAATCTTTATCCAATGAGACTCTGGGATCCTCGAGTGAGAGGGCTCTCCTGGGGTGTATACAAGAGGTCCCCAGTAATTGCTTATTGACGGAGTTTTCCAGATACCTCAAAGGTCCCTAACCTTCAACATCTCAGCGGGCTCAGATGAGCTCTGCCACATTTGTTATTCTCTCATTTACTGAGTGTCTACTATGCACCTGGACCCGCTCTGAATACCCAAGGAGGGGAAGATTGCACAGCCATTTCGTGAACAGGCAGACTCCGCTCAAAGCAGGGATGGGACCACTGGAGATCACATGATTGACAGGTGGAGGCCTGTCCCCAGGGCCCCTAACTCACTGGTGTTAATGAGAAACTGGTTGGAGACCCCAGGATGGTCCACATCATGGATGGCGCTTGCAAAGATGGCAGCCAGGACTTCCAAGTCTGTGAACACAGCCTGAGCAGGCATGGGCATAAGCGCTGAGCGGCGGGCTCTCTGCACGGCACCCTGCACCTGCCCAGCCTGTCCATAGGACCGTACCTCCAGGGCGGGCATGGCCAGCAGCACATGCGTGGACTGGGCCACGTCAGCGGCATGCAGGCTGTTGTGGTAGGCCACGTCGGCGTGGTAGTGACCCTCCAGCGTCAGCAGGTAGGTGGCAAGTGTGTCCACCGGGATCTGGAAGGTCTTGAGCAGGTCCCGTTTCTGGTTCACCACAGGCCCTCAGTGAGGACTTCCTCCAGGCGGCGGTACACACTGTTCCTACACCTTCTCTCCTTCTGAACCTCTATCCACCTCTCACGTGCCCCATCTTCCAGGATGCCCTCAATTCTGAAATCACTTGGTCCTTGACCTTCCCCTCGGGTCTATCTCTGACCCCCACAGCAGTTCCCTCCAGACTAGGTCTCTTCAGGCCTGGGCCCAGAGCTGAGGCTTGTTGACTATCAGCAATGACCTGTTCAGCCTAGTGAACTCCTATTCATCCTTCAAAGCCCTGCTCAAATGATTTCATTCAGGGGCGTTAAGGAGTTGAAGTATATGGGTCCCCTAAGGTCTTGAGGTCAGAAGGGCTGAAACAAATCCAGGGGTATTGGTGGGCAAGGTCATGGGAGGTACCTGAAAGATGCTGAATATGATGGCTGTCAGGGGCCGGTTCCCACTTAGCTCTGCCACCTTGAACACATCAAGCCCCCACTTATTGGTGTCTTCCAGTTCCTAAAATGTGAAGAACTGGAGCTTGACCCAGGCCCGACTTCCCCAGACTCTGAACCTGTGAGCCCCTCCCCCGGATCTTACATTCAGCCCCACTTGCCCAGTATACAGGTGGGCAAACGGAGGCTCACAATAGGGCTTCCAGGTAGAGCCAGAACCCTAACCCAGGTCTCAGCGTTCTAGCTGGGAACCCACCTTGGCCAGTTGCGCCTCCTGGTCAGTCTGGACCCCAAAGCATGGGATGGTGGCTGTGGAGAGGCTGGCACTGTGGGGGAGCCCCTGCAGGCCGCTGATCTGGGACATGGGCCTCGAGGGTTCCTTGGGGGTTCCCTTGGGTAACTCCACCTCGGTCTGTTGGTCTGGAGGGAGGGAAGGGTGGGACTCAGAGAAGCCGATTCACCTGCTAGGGTTGTCCTGCCTTGTCTCGGGTCCCAGACTTTGCTAAGCCTCAGGATCAACCTATTTCCTTTTTATCTGGATCCCAGTCAGCTCAGAGCAAAGTCCCTATCTACCCTCTTTTCGTGGCTGATCTCAGTAACCTCTTCTGAGAGCCTGGGGCTCAGGGTTTCCCTCCAAACAGCTCAGTGCCCTTTCTCTCTCCCAAGCTGGAGACCCAGCTATCTGGTTTCCTCCATCTCTTTCTTGGAAAACTTTTACTCATGCTTCACAACCCTGGCTTTAATGTCCCCTCCTCCGGGATCTTCCTCCTGCTCCTCCCGCTGGCCCGGCCTTCCTTCACCCAGGTGGCTGCTCTGCCTTCCCCTGACGGAGGTCTTTTCCTACCGCCGTATGGTGCCCAGGCAGTGGCCCCCCACGGCTCACCCAGGAAGGTTTGGGAAATGTACTCTGACACCTGGTTCCCCGAGCGGCTGGTCTCAGACAAGTGAGTCAACTCCCGGGTCAGCATCCGCTTGAACTGCAGGGGGAGGTGAGGACAGTGATGAGGGGGCACTGCGGGTGGCGGCCAATGATCTCCGCTCGCTGGCCCTCCTCACCTTGTTGGAGGCCATCTCCCCCACCGAGTGCCGGGTCTGCAGGGTCTCCAGCTGATCCAGACACCAGTCCAGCTCATCCAGTGTCTCCAAGGCCAGCTTCTGCCCAGTGTCCTCTGGGGGCTGAGCCATCAGGATCCTGCCCCACCCCCACTCGGTGACCCCACCCCTTCATGACTCCATGTCGACATCTAGAACCTACAGCCCTTCCCAGTGGGGCCACTCCAGACCCCAGGATTTGAGTTCCAGATCTGTCCCCAGTGGCCGTGTGACCATGGGCAGGTCTCCGCCCCTCTCTGGACCTCAGCCTCCCCATCTGTCATTTGGGCCTGGCAGACTCCAGCCCTGAGGGTGTTTTGGAGGGTGACAATGAGCACAGCCTAAGGGTCCATGGGCTGGGGAGGTCACCGTGGAGAAGAAATTGACAGCGGTCCCATAGTGTGAGGGAGGGGTAGGAGCAGGAGAATTACCTGGAGGAGGAGGGGGCTGACTGCCAGATGGAGGGTTCCCGATGGATGTCTGCCTGCAGTACAGTCCGCTCTGGGGTGGCCTACCTCACCCAAATGGTCCCACCCCATCCAGCCCACCTGTGGGCCACCGCCCCCTCCTCCCGGCCCTGCCCTTCTCTCTGCCAGGCCCCACCCCCGCCCAACCCCCTATGTACTTGGCTGCTCTGTGGCCTTGCAGGTGGGCTAGCGCAGCAACATTGCTCCGAACAGTCCGCAGACTGGCCAGGACCTGTTGGGAGGGGGATGATCAGCATTGGAAAAGGGGGGATCGATTTCGCCTGCTTGCCTCACGCAGGAAGGGGGAGGAGTGGGCACCCACCTGGGCAAAGGGTGTCACAATCATGTCTTCTCCATGTCTGTGGGGAGAGAGGACATTAGAAAGGGTGGCCAGGGAGCTGTCCAGCGTGGTCCCATCTAACACTATGCCCACACTATGCCCTCAGCTGAGCTCATCCTTCCCTCACAACTCCTCCTTCTGGTGCCCTATTAATCCCTGGGCTCCGCTTACCTGGCTCTTCTCTGGAAGCACCTCCAGCCTCACACATGAGGAAACTGAGTCCCGGGGAAGCAGGGATATTATTATATTTCCCCTTTTATTATGGCTACCAGGAAGGTCTAATTAAGGTGTTTTTCAGTTGCTACTAATTGTCCTTAATGTTTCTGGACTGCCACCCAACCCAAGCCTAAAGTCAAGCACAGATCACCAGATATCATTCTAGGCAAGTTCAACTGAGTAAGTGGCTGCTTGACAAACTCCTACTTAAACTTCAAAACCCTGCACAAAAAGCCACTTGAAGGAGGTGTGCTGAATGGAATAATAAAAGGAGGAAGAGATGAGTACGTGTCATCCCACCAGCCCCAGACTCACAGGTCACTGGCCACAGAAGAGTTCCGGGACATGGCCTTAGGCAAGAGTTCATAGTCGCTCTCGGAGCGGTACAGGAAGGACTCACGGCGCTGGCTGTGTTGGGTGACCTGGCCAGGGCCAGGCCCGACCTGAGGGTCCTGGGCGCTTCTCCCGCGTGAGAGTGCATTTTCCAGGTCAAAGCTGGAAACAGATGAGGCATGGTCAGAGCCGAGGGGCCTGGCAAGAGGATGGCCTTTGGTGGCTCCAACCTGTTCTTTCACATCCTCCCGGGAGCCAAACGATGGGACATGAAGGAGTAGCGTACAGTTCGTCCACCTGCCTCACAGTCACACCCCTCCCCAGGGACCTGGCACCAGCCTTCCCACTGGGACCAGTCTGGACTCCAGAACGTGAGCTTCAGATCTGTCCCCAAATGTCTGTGTGACCAGGGGTAGGTCTCAGCCTTTCTCTGGACATCGACTATCCTGTCTCTAATATAGGCATGGGTAGAGTCTTCTCTGAGGGGCTTTTAGGTAGTTACAGCTGAGCACCTGAGAATGACAACTGGGCTTCCGTATTACTAAGAAGGAAACTGAGGTCCAGGTCGCGTGGTAAGGTCACAGAGACTGGAAACTGACTTTCTGGGCTCTCCTCTCTGGAGGGGTCTAGATCTTGCCCAAATCAGGCCAGTTCCAAGGGTCCCCACCGCGGGAGAGGCCCCGCCCCACCCAGTAAGGGTCACCTGTCCCCTCCCCCAGCCCACACCCTCAGCCCACTTGGCCCCTCTCCAATCTAGTCGACCACGCCCCCACATCCTTTACGCCGCCCCCCGCCCCCCAGATCCTTTACTCCCCTGCTTTATTTCCACGCGAATGCTCTGCCTGTACTCTTCCACCTCCAGGCTTCCGCTGGGGGCCATGCCCGCTTCCCGGAGCACCCTCCTCCCCACAGCACCCCGCTCTTTCAGCCCGGTCCCTCCCTCCCGTCACACCCTGACTGGTTAATGGAGAATCTATGCTCATCCTCCTTGGGGTCAGAGGTCAGAGAAAGAGTGGGCGGGGACGTGAGCAAGAACTGAGGTTCTGAATGGGAGTTAGCCACGGAGAGGGGCTGCCGCAGGTCACGGGCTTTGAGAGCGCAGGCAGGAGACAGGTAGACACCGGGGGCCGCCCACAACTTGGGGCTTCTGGCCAAGGGTCCATGTCCACCTGGTCCCCCGCCAGGTCACCCGTCCGGGATTCGGCAGGATTCCGTCCGGTTCGGCTGGATTCGGTCCAGCGGGGTCGGGTTTGAGTAAGTTCTATTGGGCGTGGTCCAACTGAGTTCGGTCGGGCGAGTTCATTCTGACTTGGTTACATCCGACCGCGCTCGGGCAGGTTCGGATGCGTTCGGGAACATTCGGCTCTGTTCGGCAAAACTCGGAGAATTCGGGCGCGCTTGGCTTTGTCCGGCCGCTCTCCGCCAGTTCGTCTTCAGCGGAGACGAGAAGCCGCTACCGCGCGTGCGTCCGGGCTCCCGCTTCGTGACGTCACGAGGAGGGCTGGGCTTCCAAACACCGACCCGCCTGGCTGGGGGCCCCGGGGCGGCGGAGGGGCTGCCGGCGGCAGACACAGTGACCCGCGCTCCGCGGGGAGGCCTAGGAGTGGCCACCCTCTCCCTCCTCGCCTCTCCCAGAGGCCTGGGAACGCGCACCCATGGATAGCTAGGGCGGCTGTAGCGGGGGGAGGCCCACAGGGTGCGGGGCTGCAATCCAGTGGGCCGGCGCCCAGGGTGGAAGGCCGGTCACAGCCGGGGAAGTTTTTGTTTTGGTTTTTCTCTGCTCTAATCTTAGCTGGGAGTGGCGGGGTCAGGCTGTGGTTCCATGACGCGGCGGCGCGGGGCGAGGTCGCCCTGACGGCGGAAGCCGCATGTCTGTCCATGGGTTAGACAGGTAAACTGAGGCACGAGGGCCTTGGAGGGACCCGCCATCCCCTAGCCTCACCTTCTGGCTCCCGAGGGCGCTCCCTCGACGCCCCTGCGCTTTCTCCGGATCCCTAGGCAGGCACCACCCTCAGCAGGCGTCGGGTGGGTGCTCTGGGGGCGCTTTCCCGGACCTGGGACCCCCCCTCCCGGGCTGCAGTGGCGCCATCGG